GTCAGTATATCATATATAGTCAGCATATTATATATCATATTTAGTCAGTATATCATATATAGTCAGCATATTATATATTACATTTAGTCAGTATATTATATATTATATTTAGTCAGTATATTATATATTATATTTAGTCAGTATATCATATTTAGTCAGTATATTATATATTATATTTAGTCAGTATATCATACTTAGTGAGTATATTATATATTATATTTAGTCAGTATATTATATATCATATTTAGTCAGTATATTATATATTATATTTAGTCAGTATATTATATATATATTTAGTCAGTATATTATATATTATATTTAGTCAGTATATTATTTATCATATTTAGTCAGTATATTATATATTATATTTAGTCAGTATATTATATATTATATTTAGTCAGTATATCCTTTATCATATTTAGTCAGTATATTATTTATCAACAATGACTGTACACGATGCTGTAAAGATTAAACATGGTATTTTTTGTTGCTGTTGTTTTTGTGGTGACTGAAGGAAACCACAAAGTTTAGATTGACAAGCGTTTTTGAGTGTTTTTGTGTTTGATACAAGAACCCAGTTTACTCATTTTGGTCAGTGTTTATAGTTCTACTTTGTATTTAACAAGAAGAAAATTTTCTGTATTTCTATACAACGCCCCCTCCCCCTGGAGAACTACGAATTAAAAACAAGTGATAGATAGTAATTTACATATACAGATAAACTGAAAGTTTCCGTCTTTATTTTTGTTATTTTATATGCTTCCCAAACCATTTTTCTCCTGTCTCTCAGGATTAATACATGTGTATCTGTGATGTTTGGCAGTTTCCATAATTTTGTTGGCATTGACTCGACTGGCTTCTGGTTAGTATTCCAACTATGTAACTGGAAAATATTTGAAACTTTTTTGAGCTGTTCTTGTCTGCTGTAGTAACTTTACCGACACCACAGTAACAAATTTCATGTTTTTCTCTATGTAATACTCAGCGTTAAGGTGAACTAAAATAGAATATGGATAATTCCTTGTTTGCAGTTCCACGAGACATCCTCCAGAAATTTACTGTCCAATGTTTCCTCTGGAAATTGAAGTCCAGATTAAGAATAATTCTAAAAAAAACTTAAACTTGATTTGAAAAACACATTTTGAAAGCCTACTGGGAAACATGTTGAAACAACTTGACTTTTATTTGTTGCCGTTTATCTGACCTACCAATATGTGTATTTGTTTTTATAGCAAAGCCACATCGGGTTATCTGCTGTGTCTACCGAGAGGAATCGAACCCCCGATTTTAGCGATGTAAATCCGTAGACTTATCACTGTCCCACCGGGAGACCTTACCGATATGATTTAAGTCAATTGCCTGATATAATCATAAGTGTCAATGTTACTTCACACCGCAGAATCATAATAATGTTTATACTTTTCCAATGTATTTAAGGCTTAGCAGGAAGAAGAGTAGTTTACATTGTGTACGAATTAAAATGTGTTTAGACATTAAAAGGGAGTACTTTTGGCACAGTGATATATTTACAAGTAATATAAATATTGTTTAAGTTTGTGTCTGTAATAAATAATTCACGTGAACTCTGAATGTGCAATGTTCCAATGTAGGCTTAGTGCTTAATAGTTCAACATTAATAATCTTTTTTTCAGTTTAGATTTAATGCTTAATAGTTCAACATGAATAATCGTTTTGCAGTTTAGGTTTAATGTTGAATAGTTCAACATGAGTAAATGTTTTGCAGTTTAGGCTTAATTCATAATAGTTCAACATGAATAATCATTTTTCAGTTTAGGCTTAATGCTTAATATTTCAACATGAATAATCGTTTGCAGCTTAGGCTTAATACTTGATAGTTCAACATGAATAATCGTTTGCAGCTTAGGCTTAATACTTGATAGCTCAACGTGATTACTCACTTTGCAGCTAATTACCAAACAAAATAAAAATAAAACAAAGAAAATATCTTACCTTAAGTATATTCTAAGTGTGATTTTGTAATATTTATATATTTATTTTAAGTGCATTCAGCAAAATCTGAAACTAAAACCAACTTCTCTAAGTAAGTTCAAAACGTAGATTTATAGATACAAAATACAACTAGTTACATACAGCATTATTTAATATCTCATAACCGTTCAATGTGCTTGTTTATATATATATATACAGTATATAAGATGTACTTGAACGTACTAGAGTTTTTCAGTTTGAGGTATCATCCTATACACTCACTGTACTGTAAGCAATTTGGTCGAAATAGTTTATCG